GTTTCATTGAAAGCACTGAAGAGTAAATTTCAGCGATTGGATGTTCATCAAACGAGCAGCAATAAATGACGTGGCAAGTGAACATATCATAGCAAATGCGTTGAATTCATCATCAGATATCATAAGCACTTCTAGAAATGACAATAACTGTTGTAGTACATCAAAAGATGATCGTTCAACGAACCATTTGTTAACGGAACAGCAAAGCACTACTGAAATTGCTTGTAGTCCTAATCAGTGTTTGAATATGATTGAATATGTTTGCGTCAACGAGGATAAGATTAATGCAATGTGCTCATCATCGTCCGGTGTTTACTCACCATCCATTCTTTGCACAGTTTCTGAAGGTTCTTCTGTTGAGTGGCTTTAATTGACATGAATCAACAAATCCTTCTCAGTTCATGATTTTATCCATCTTTATTACATTCAACAATAACGTTATTTTTTATCGCTCATTTTTTTGTGCAATTTCTATTTGTTGAACATTCTCATCAATCCATAATGTTCTCATTGTCATGTTTCAATGATCATTTTCATCCATAAATATTCCCTTTAAATTTTATCATTATTCATCCACAGTTAATCTTTATCGTTGTTTTATCGGTTTTCAATTTTCACGACACATATTGTGTAATATTGCAAATGGTTATTGGAAGTTTCGTGATGATCTCACTTGCGTTTACGTTTATCTTCTGAATGATACAATTGTTGATCAGCTTTGAAAATTTGTGACGGAATTGTCTGTGATATCAATTCATTCATTTATTTATTCATATATAATCATTTCTGGTATGTTATGTTGCAAGGTTTTTGATCAAATACTGATTGATTTATTAATTGGAATGGTTGTTCGTGGGAGACGTTGGTTAATTTATGAACAGCTGAGGATAATATTCTCTGCTGCACTTTTTACTTTCTAATCCAAATATTCGTTAAGTTAGGAGCAACTTATTTTCGAATTTAGGGGCAACTTATCCAAATGTATTTCTTCTATTTGAGAACTTTTCAAAGAATTGGTTGATTTGCTTTAGTCACATTATACTGATTGACGTTATGCACATCGCTTTTGCATATTCGCACCATTGTGAGGAGTGCGCCACCAACACCTTCATGATGACCGTAAGAGATTTTGCTGATATCGATATATAGAAGGGTGGTTTGATTAGTTGCCGTAACCGATTGAGACGAATTCATTCGAAAGAGATCACTTTCATGTCATGTCCAGTCGACCTGTGAATTCGGTTTAAATTTGCATACTGAAGTCAACACATTTGGGCACTTCCTTACCCTAGGGATGTCGTAAGCTTGCGCGCGTGCTCACAATTGCATAAAATTGNCAATTTTATGCAATTGTGAACTTGGGCAATTCATGCATTTGCTTGAAAAATTTATCTGAACACGCCAACTGCGCATGGCCTCGGTCTATGCAAAACCGTCTTTCATAATGCACGTGAGCGTGCTCACGTGCGATCCCCCTTCGTCTAGGGTAAAGAAATGCCCACATTTGTTACGTTAACGTATGTATGAGCATACCTTAGCGGTTGAATGGGTCGAAGAAATAGAGAAAATAAGGCGCTCTAGATCTTTTGTGATTTTTAAATGTTGATAATGAAAAAATCTCTTACTTTCTTGGAACTTCATTTCATATGGAAAGTTATCGCAACAGAAACACAAGTCCATCAGATGCGCACATTCTGAAAAGGTTTTTGAAGTTTTTTAATGCTAACTTGCGCCATTGTGATCTAGAAAAAAAGTTTATACCTTCATCGCATACAATCGCACCGGAATAAACTTCTTCATAGGATGCAGTACCAAATATCATCTTCAGAACATGTAATTTCTTCATTATCAGAAGTAGACAACTGCAAAAAGAGCAGAGTACGAGGTCGAACCTTAGTATTATGTTTTTTATAATTTCCCTTAACGCACTTGGTCATTGAACTGCGTCCACCTCAATTTAAAAAATTACTTGTGGTGTCAGTTAAAGAAGTTTGTGCTCCTTGATTCCGTTTTCTATTCACGGTCTTTCGAATGGTAGTGATTCGTCTCAATCGATTATGGCGACTGGCAAGATCTCCTGCTTCTTACAGTTCATAGGATGAATGCGAGGCTCTGGTGTTTTATTGCTTTCGTACCAGAAAATTCGCTCGAAATGTTAAGTTACATTTGTCTAGTGTATGAATAAATTCGAAGTTCGTAAATCGCTTACGTTTAGCATTAGCGAATGCATTAATGTGTTTAGTATGCATATTCGTGCACCTATGTGATCTAAGCATCGAAACCGCACTTACCTTCTTAAAACGAATTAAATGAACGAATGTGTCATATGATGGATCTTGCGTGCCTGATATTCATATAGGATTAAGTTATCGAAGCCAATCAATCATTTCTTTGCAGCTATTTTAGTTTATAATTTTACAGTGTACTTCTTCTCAAGCCTAAGATCAAATTTGTTTAAAGCCATTGATTGTCATTATTTATCACATCTGGAACTAAACTAGGCATGGAAGTTATATGTGTGGATGGTGTACTGAAAATATTCTCAGTGAGCATGCTTGCATGGTGTGTTTGTTGTTCATAAGGCATGCTGAACGATTTTGGTGATAGTTTTTAGTTATCTGATATGAAAAATTAGGGGATATAGATTCGATCATACATTTTGGGTGTCTGATGGTTCGGTTCGCAAACGAACAATATATACTTGCTGAGGTATTTGTTTATTTCATTTGCTTTGACTTCTGTCTGTGATAATCTTAGCCTGAATTGTAAAGATACGATAGTTGAGGACGTAGTTGTTTTTGATCGATAAAATTTTTTAGTCGAGTGAATCAGCCAGTAAGTAAGTTTCAGTTCACTAATGATGTATTATTTTTGCTTTTGCCTAACTGTATTTGTCAGATTAAAAATACTTATTTTGCAGACGTCCTCAGATCCTCGGTGCAAAGATGTTACAGTCGTAGCATTCATCATTTATCCGGCAGCCGCGAACTCATTCAATGTTGAGTCGTTAAAAGGACAAGCAGTGTGCAAGCAACTCCGTGATACAATCGCAAAGATTAAAGAAAACGTGGCATCACGTATGTTTGAGGCATGCCAGAGGTTTGTCACTGTAGCGCTAACTTGCTTCAAAAAATTTTTATTTTCTTTCTTCACCAATCTATGAGATATTTGTTCGTTTATCAGTTATGAATAGGTTGTCTTACTGCAGTATCTTGAAGTGTTAATCCGAGGATTTAGTTTGATTCAATTTCAATTTACCGAACTAAGGGTCTGATGAGAATGTGTCAATGAATCTGTGCAAACAGTCAGTAGATTTGATAGTTTTTATCTCTTTATTGTTTATAAGCAGAAATGGATCCAACCAAATCAGCATTCTAATAATGTTTGGTTTTCAAAGTGTAAAATGAATATTTTATAGAGGACAGCTTCCCGAAATGAAGGACTTATTATCACCAGCTGAAAGCATTCAGCTAAAGCGATGTATTTTATCTGCTAAAGTATGAAAGTGTTTAAGTTTTCATTTCATATGTTCTGTCTTCCAAATTTGCTATTCGATATTTTTTAAAAGTAATTGTTGCTTTGAAAACTCAATTTTTTCTTATTCCATCACTGAAATAGTGAAGGCCAATATGAGACCACTTTAGTACCTGTATTTAATTCGTCGTTTTCATTTTCTTTTCCTTTATGAGCAATAATAATTTATTCTTCTTTTGTTGCCACCAATAACTTTCTAAATAGTGATTTTTAAAGTAATTTAGTGAATCATCATTGCTTATTTATCTCTGTTTTAGCGTGATTGTCTGCCACCAATTTGTACGCACAATATGCTCGATGATGCTGGTGATCCCGTGCTGAACGCATTTCGTAGAACACAGCTTATCAATCAGCACAGTGATCGCGTTAAGGTATCTTCAGTGAATGCCTTTTATCTCACTTCAGTTACATAACTGAATTTTATCGAACTTTATTGATAGTTTGCAAATTTCATTTCACAGGATTTCATTTTACAGTATGCCACTGCTTTATTGGCACTGTGGTTTTTAATCGACCGAACTGAAACTGTGTGGATAATAACTGACTGTGTTTGGAATGGTCCTATGTACTTTCTATATCGATTACTTATTTGGTAATATTCCATCCAGATTTCCTATTATTTATAGGTGATATTCCATCCAGAGTTTCTCTCTTCGGTTTCACCGTTAATGAATCTTGATTACGAGGACTTTGTTCGCGGCTGTCATATTGGTGTCTTTCCCAGTTATTACGAGCCTTGGGGATACACTCCTGGTATTGACTGTATTTGTGTTTTTTTTCGATCTATTGTTTTCTGTTTTTAATCTATCGTGCTTTCTTTTATCACCGCGCACATCGTAAAATTACCGATGATTCAAAAACTGTTTACTGAAAACAGCTGCATACGATTTGTGAACGCCGAATAACCGTCAAAATGTTGTTTTCGTTGATAAAAATCGCACATCAATAGAATGCTTATTTGAGTGTTCATAAAGTATGAGTGCATTTCCTATGAAGGTATGTTCTGTATGAACGAAATACTCGCCTTCAAATGATATTTGCAGCTGAATGCACAGTGATGGGAGTGCCGTCGGTTACTACGAATCTCTCGGGATTCGGTTGCTTCATACAAGAGCATGTGCAAGGTCCAGAAACGTACGGTGTATTCGTGATTGATCGTCGTTTTAAAGGAGCCAATGAATCGATCGATGAACTCGCTAAAGTTCTATACGATTTCACGTAAATATTATCGTTTGAATTAGATCGAACTTTTCCTCATACCGTCTTCTTTATCAGTGAATTATTATGATTTTGCCAAATCAAAAGAGAACACTGTTTATAGTATTAATGAATAATGTGCATTATAAAATGGAAAATAATCACCATGAATGTTCACTTTTCGCATTGTTCAGGTTATCCAATCCATTACGAAATAATTCTCTGATACATCGTTCATCTGATATATGTTAAGCTCTACCATTCTATTAGACTAATTTTTCGAACAGTGTTTCTGGCGCTCTTGCCTTTGGTGTTATGGCAGGCAGACCGCCATTTCTTGCCTTCAACAATCTGCATGACCATAATGACCTCCTCTCTCCATTACTTTCTAACAACAAACCAAAAGAAATTAATTTATCGGTCAATGCTCTCAGTTATTGCTTACTCTACCATTTCATTTTGATAATTCCACAGTTTACGAAGTTGACACTAATTGTAAGTTTGTCGTTCAGTCTACTAACAAGACGTCAAAGAATCATTATGCGAAATCGCACGGAACGTTTAAGTGAATTGTTGGATTGGAAAAATCTTGGATCGGTAAGTAATCACCTCATTTGGGCAGTAATCTCAAATGTTCACTTCCCTTTCGAATTTATTCATAAACGTTGTTCAGTATATAGCTTCAACTGAAGAAACTATCAATTTTTTGTTTCGCATGCAAGTTGACCAGTCCTTCGTGGGGCAGTCGAATGTGACGAAAAAATGCATCTCGTGGTTTATTCAGAAAGGCAACTAATACAAATTTTGAAGCTGAAAACAAATTAGAACGATAAATATTTATTGTTGCAGTTTTATCGTGAAGCACGCAGAATGGCACTGCAAAAGACTCATCCGGATTTGGTCCAGGTAATTCAAGAAACGGCACGTCGAATGCCTCGTCCCATTTCGGCGCCTTCCACCCCTAGTACTAGTCGTCCTACATCACCGCATGGAAGTGATCATGATGATGATGATGATGATTCAGATACCGAAGAACAAGAAGAATTCGAAGCAAAAGCTTGGCATGAGTTATGATCCATACTTCCACATTTAGCTGTCTCAACTATTTTCACAGTGTCTTCATTAGCACACGTGCCTTTCACTGTTAATTGTTTTAAAGATATGACAATCTGTTCATTTAAATTCATCTTCATTGTTATAAGTTCATTGTACACTCTTTTCACAAAATCGTTACACATATTTTCGTACCATTTGACAGCGATGAGAACGTCTTTAGAAAAATGTCACAATGAACGTAATTGAAAGACTGTTCATAAAATCGTTCGTATTGAGTGAGTGGTGCCCAATACAGCTAACGTTCTTCTTTTCCGTTTCTTTCATTGTCAGCTCGATTCCTGATGTCATATCTTTTCATTGCCATTTCGTTCCGGTTAGTTTTCTTGTTCAAACGTGTTGTTAAATGTTTTAACCAGTCGTTTTAGAAACCGTTCATGTTTCATTTATGTTTCGTATAATTTCCACAATTGGCAATGAACTGCTGCTGTGTTCGTTATCTGAAGTAGGTCACATTTACGGGATTTAGTCAAATTGTTATTGTTTTCTTAATTTGCATATTTTGTAACGTTTTAGCTGTTTCTTGAAATCATCGTTGCATCAGATTATTGCTGTGATTATTGAACAACATTTCATCTGTAATAAATGTTATTGTTGTTAGTAGGCAATAAAGTTTGATCACTTGATAAGTTGATAATTCGGATCGTTTTTTTAACACGAACGACTAGGCGAGACAAAAAGGTTTGTAATATATTTTTGTGCTTATTGAGTGTGATGTTATCTTAACCTACTGATAATTTCAAGTGCCTTTTATTGTTGTTGCAAACAGTAACGGATGTCTTTTGCGAACTTCATGTGCATTTCTACTCTGCTGTTTGCGTGGTCTCAGATTCTGAAGATTTGTAGAGTGAAGAATATGTTTCACTAATTTTGAATTGTTTCGAATTTGTAGAGTGAATTTCGAATATTTCATTAATCATCTACGTTGTTCTATTGAAATGTAGTTGGTAAAATTTTCAACGAGAAAGGGTGACATTGAGCACTATCATATATACAGGTCACGAACAACTCGCGCATTCCTCGCAATCGAAATCTCACACTGAGAGGCGTTTTTTTCTAGCCTTTTATGCCTATTGCGTTTGGTTTCATGTACAAGAAAAACTTTTCTTTCTCCTCTCCATCACATATCGTTGAAACGATATCTACGTATACACCAAGCTTATTTTGCATTCGTTTAGATGATTTCTTTTCGCTACGAAGGGCGATTTAAATCTTAAAATGGTTGGAAAGTCTGTCAGGCCAACAGCACTGTGCCTCATTGCATATTCATGTTATCAAATAGATTCTCAGGTTGTTAAGCGTCACACACTGACCAACGCAAGCAATATTTTCGTCGATGTACCACGAAAACCATGCATCCTCCTTCCAAGCAGATGACGATTTATTCGAAACTATTTTTCGACAGTTGTTCTTCGAAAATTGAAGATTCTTTCAGAATTCGTTGCACTCATCAAACCACAATGAAAGATTACTTTAATCAAAATTCAGCTTTTTCATTTTCAGTTCCATTATGAATTTACGAAAAATAATTTTATTCGTGGAACGATGAGAACGAGAAAAAAAAGAGATTCTTAATGAGTTGGACGGCGAGTGAAAGCGAAGAAAGCAGCGAACATTAA